CCAATAATAAAGTCGCTGTTGAATCTGTTTCAGCACCATTTTAGGGCAGGGTAGTTCAGAGGGTGACAACTTGCAGAGTGAATAAAACCCCTCACCTTTCCCCCAACTCTGTTTACCAATTGTCTTTAATCTGTACCCCCTCAGGTTCCAGGAACAGTGTAAGACCATAAAGCGTAGCAGCAGAATTAGGCTGTTCGGCCCATCAAGTCTGCTCTGCCATTCGCTGAGATCATAGCTGATCTGCCAACCCTCCATTCCCTTTTCTTTTCTGCCTTTTTCCCCCATCACCCTCGATTCCCTTAATTACTAAACCTCACTGCCTCACTCAGGATTCACAAAGCATTCTGACAGCTGTTGTGGAATCGGGATGGAGCCTAGCGGTGTGTCAAGGGATGGGGACAGGGGCTGGGGGGGAGGGATGGTGGAGGATGGAAGGGGGAGGTGGTCAGCCTTCTAGCTGATAGTGTGAAACCTAAGAACCCTCGCTGGGGGGGGTGGGGAAGGATCCGTCACAGCTAATGTGCGTTCCAGAATTCGCTGATCTATCCCTGGGATAGCAAGACCTTTATAAACCTGCAGCATTTTTCCTATCATCGCTTGCTCCTGCCTGGGAGATGGTGGGAGGGGGAGAGCAGGAGAGAGCTCAGTGTCAGGTATCAGTGAATACATTGATGCTTTGACAATCCCAACCCAGGATACTGCAGTAGGGGGTGGTGGAGGTTGTGGTTGGGTTGGCGGGGGGGAGGTATTGCTAGCTCGCGGTCCCCCCAGCAGCTCCCCTTCCCTGTTTCCTGTCCTATCTCATCTGTGGCAAATCCATCTCCTGGTCTACTAGCGTACACACGTTATAGCTGCTATATATAAACAAAAATCCCAAGAGCCAACTTTACAGTAGTCTCAATCTTTGACAGGACACAGTTTAACTATTTCAGAGCTGTCGTGAGGTGTTCTGATTCTGGTCTTTTGTCCAACACCCAACCATCTCAGAAGTTTCATCACCTGGCATGAGACTCCACAGAGGCTACCCAAACTGCCTGACTACCATGTTGCCTAGTTGAGGGGGGGGGGGGCTAGCATTCAGAGCTGGGAGCTCCTGTTGCGGACCAGGGCTGGTCATGGAAAGCTTGGCTTCCATGGGTAGCATCTTGCCTCTTGGAGGCTGAGGAGCTGGAGTTCAAGCCCCACTCCCGGGCTCTGGATCACACGGTTGAAGGTGCCATCTTTCCCCAGTGCCTGAGAAAGACCCCACAGCTGCTGTTTGAAGAGGAGAACGTACCTTCTTAGTTGGGTGCAGGTGGAAGCTTGCACAGGACTTTTGACTGCATTTGGGCCAGATCTTTGAGCCAATGGCAAGGCCGTGGGCAGTGTCCAACTGCCAACATGTGGTAGAGCTATCTGTTTTCCGCTGGGACTGCCAACTGATCCCTGGTGAAACAGAAATGACCAGTTTTTAAAAATTCATAAATGAAGAATGGGTGTCGTTAGCCAGGTCAGCATTTTTTGCTCCGTCCCTAATTGCCCCTTGAGAAGG